TTTTGTCTTTAATATCGTTAGGAAGTCTTCAAATGATTTGTTGTAAATAAAATGAATTTCATGTAAATAGAATTTTTATGTAAACATTTGAAAACCTAATGTATCTTATGTCTGTTTTTAGCAATTAAAAACATCAAATCTGTATATGTTTTTTAGATTAATATGTTTGCAAGACAGAAGAAACAATTAAAGAGCAATGTGTAATGAATACGTCATAAATAAAAGTACTAAATTAAAATACTTATTTTAAAAGTAAGAAGTTTTGGTACAAAAATGTAAACAAAATAATTATGAATTACCTTTACACCTTTGAGAATACGCCATCGATTTCCCTTATGTCCAGGCATCTTAGTACCTGGCATCACTCTAGCTCGTCCACCTCCTGCACCTATATTTCCTCCCCTTCTATGTGATTTAGTTATACCATGTGATGCAGGCATACCCTTAAATCCCCACCTTTTCATGACACCTTGGAAGCCACGGTCTATCCTATGTTTATAAAAAAATGTAATTTATTATTAGATGTTTAATATGTAGAAGAGACTATTTGTAGAATGTTTACGTTTTTCCTCGAATGTCAAGGAATTCTCCTGGCTTAAAATGGGCTGCAGATAATGAAGTTCCTGGTTGGAGAGCAGCATTTGGTGAAACCACAAATCTCATTAGTATTTTCTTTGGTGTAACTCCAGCTTTGCTAAATATTCCAAAATACTCCTTAGTAAGCTGTAAAAATGAATAGTATAAATACTGTATTTAATACTCCATAAATGTTGATAAAGATATAGGTCATAGTAACTTACTTTCTGTGGATCAATATTTATTGCACCTAGTACAAGAGAACCATTTTTCACTTTAACATGTTTATGTTTAGAGTGTACGACTGGGTTAAATTCTTCTGGTGGTATATATTTTACAACTTCATTATCGATAATCTATAGGGGTATAAAGTACATGAATTTATATAAAATTAAAATGTAATAATATATAGCTGCTTCCTATAGTACCTGTATTAAAGTAGCTAATACTCTTGTACCATTTTTTAGCCACATTGGATATACACCTATTTTTTTGCCAATTAAACCAGTACGTTTAGATTTTGGGGTCCATGGTGTAGTTGGAATTAATTCTGCATTTAGTGGAGACTTATTGTGTAATCCATCATTAGATGCAACATATTCTGAGATGAATTCTTTATTTTCTGGAGTAAGTACTTCATCATACAGCTAATATAAACAACATTAATATAAAGTATTTAGCAAAGTGAAAGAAAATGAAATGTGATTGTTATTTTCTAAATACATACTACACGTGTTGGCTTTGGAAGCCATTCTGGATGACGTTTTCTTGGTGGAGGATTTTGCCTCCTGCCACGAGTAAGAACTGCCATCATGTCAAGCCTAAAATTTTTGTATTATTGAAAATTAAGACTGATGTTGCAATAGACAATCGAGTAAACAAATTTATTTTCCAAATCTTTAATATGCAAAAAATAAATTCATAAATTATATATATTATTTTCACTTAATACCTTGGCTTTAAACATTTGTTAAACAGTTGAAAGCTGTTAAATGTTTTTAGAATTGATGTCATATTTGTAAACTGAAAAAAAAGACGTATAGTCTTTTACAGATATTTTTGCGTGAAATACCGATACAACCCTAAAAAGGGTTAGAATGTAAATCGTTACCACAACTAGACTGTGGCTAAATATAAGGCATCAAGTAATGTAATTTTCTTGATGCAATGTAAGAAATAATTACTCAAACTTCATTGCTTTTTCATAATTTTATAGATAATTGTACTTCATGTATGTACAAATTGTTTGCACAGGCGAGGTATAAAATACATCTAACCATGAAAGAACCACGTTTGTGATAAAACGAGTATAGGTATACTTTGTTTACAGTCGATATTACAGTATGTAACTCACTGAAATTAAGTAGACTTTTATCACAGACGAGGTACTTACACAATAGATTTAACCACAGACGATGTACAAGATAGACTTTGCACCTAATGTGTTTTTGTGTCCAACGTTCTGAAATACCGATCGTGTAAAAAATTGGAATTTTTGTAATGCCCTCTACGATATAAAGCGGTGAGTTTAGGAATTACATACAATGCAACTATAAAAGATGGTAAAGTTGACTGTATATTGGATATAATACATTGGATTGCTTGGTTAGAACTGTTCACGATTTTATGACAGCAGTAGAACACGCGCATCTGACGAATCATCTACTAATAAACAATTACGTTACTTTCATATTTATAATTTCATAGTTACGTTTAATTCCAATTGTAACCACTACTAATGTTGTAATCTTATTCTATGCTAAATGGATAACGTTGGTAACGACACGAAAATGGTAAGGGTCTTCTCGGCCTCAAAGCCCCGGACAAAAAGTCTCATAAGATGCAAGGTCTATTCTGTGCGTCGTTTTTGTGCTAACACCTAATCATTTTTCGTCCCTCGTCAGGAGGGCTGTAAGTGCCTTTACCATTTGTGTATCTCTTCCAATGTTACCGATTCAGCATAAAATAAGATTAGAACATTAGTAGTGGTTATAATTGGAATTAAACGTAACTATGAAATTATAAGTAAGAAAGTAACGTAATTGTTTATTAGTACATGATTCATCACATGCGCGTGTTCTACTGCTGTTAAAAGATCGTGAACAGTTCTATCCACGCAAACCAATATATGTACGCATCTTTATGTGCAGATTTAACAAAATAGAATTTTTTGTACCTGTCGACTTTACCATCTTTGATGGTTGGATTCTATGTAATTTGTAAACTCCCCGCTTTATATCGTAGAGGGCATAACAAAACCTCTGACTTTTTACGCGATCGGTATTTCAGAACGTGAGACACAAAGTTCCATAAGGTGATTGATCTATCCTGTACCTCGTATGAATCATCGTCAAAGAAAAATTGAATTTTTGTGTTTCACTACAGCATGATGAAATGATGTTACTAATAAACGAGGGAGATTTTCGTGAAAAAAATGAATTCAAATGTAAGCTCATTGAAAGTGTTTCTAACTATATAGAGAGTATCATAATACTATTATTACTTTGCAAATGTTATCGCGTATATGGTATAGTCCGTAAGGTGTTGCATTCAGATTGAGAAAATCTCAGCAATTTATGCGTAACGATTTCGTGTAAATCAAATGAAAAGTATTTGCGGTGAGTTACAAGATGGCCAGGCAAAGAATTAACCGAGGCATGAGAAACAACATAAAAAAAAAATATTTAACATCTTTTATTAAAAAAATGTATAGTTATAACATTGAAAAAATAAATTCGTAAAACAAAACAATAAAGTTGTGCTGTATTACTGTATTACTATATTGCAGCTCGATTTTATTATTAATAGAATATTTACGTATTGTTTATTATTAAGTTCACATTATCTCGATAGAATTGAGATTTGATGATTGGAAAGATGTATTTGTAATTTTTTACTTTGTTACTTTGCAAAATTTTTACTTTGCACTTCGAATTGTTCACCTGGTAAATATAAAGAATGTATATTTTCTCATTATTTTGTTTTAAGGAAGATATTCACATAGACAGGGCGGAGTACGCAACTGGAACCACTTTGATTTCTCCGCAAGTGAAATCTCGGGTGTGTTAATTGGTAGAATTTCTTTAAAAATTATTCAACAACCATCGTAATACACATCGCTGAATTTGTTTTACTGTTAGCCATAACTTTTGTTATAAAAAAACCAGAGTTGACTTCCGTTTAAAAAATTGACGATGACCTTGAAATTTCGAAAAATACAAGTGTCGGGAAGAAATCGAATAATTCACTATATGGTCTCGTTCGAACTACGCAGATTTCATCTTGTAGCAATTTTCGTCTAAGTTATTACTTTGGGAGTTATCGCAGTGTGGTTCCAGTTAAGGGGGTACTCTATTCTAGAGTGCCATTTTTTAATCCTTCTTAGGGATTTTTTTGTAAGGAAAGTATAAGTTTCTCAGTATCGGCGTTTTGCATACATATTTATTCATGTTCTAAGAAAGTTGACAATTTTTTTCAAGTGAAAATAATCAAAACTGTCTGAATTATGTATTATTCAGTGCGGTCCCTTAAAAAAGAAGTGTCCTACTGGCTGACACGATTCCGCCCATTCTGTTTATCCGAAATGAAAAAGCCAAAAGGATTCTTGATCAGTACGACTGTGACTATGGTGTGAACCAGAATGAAAAAAAAATAATGAAAATTTACAAAATGGCGGCACTTTGAATTTTGTGTATCGATTTTGTCGACTCTTTTTCGTCTTTCAGAGGCTCTAAAAATCAGAAAAATATATATTTTAGCATAATTCTGGTTCAGACGATAACGGCACATCCACTGAAGGTGCATGTAAAATTTCGAGTCAATCGGACAACCAGAAATTGAGATATCATGTCAGCCATTTAGAGAAACATGGTTTCGAGAAAAACGCGTTTAAAGTTTCTCATACCAGATACACGAGAATGGTATACTTGACAACGGGCTACATGTCAATTTTACGAATTCGGAAAATCCAGTTATACTTCTGCAAATGTCTACTTTCAGAAAATGTGAAAAAAGAAAATGGATTTTTTTGAAAAATCTAGACTAGAGTACCCCCTTAAGCCACTTCGAATAATTGAAGTTGAAATATCTCCTAAACTAACGGTTCTGTTATATAAACAGGTTGACCCTTTGACCTACGAAGCAACGTGTCAGACTCGTGGCAGAGATTCTGGTCAAGATATGACAAAAATAGTTATATTAGCGAGAAAAATTAATTGTAATCCTAACTTTCGTTTTAATTTGTACGATCAAGGATTCCTAAATGCAATTAATCTGTAACAGATTACCTCTTGTTACCTGATACAGTACTAAAACATTAAATGGCTGACGCTTATATGCATAGTCAGAAAAGAAATCATAGGTTAAGGGGTTTAATAACGTAATGAAAAGTACATAATTTCATTTAAAAGAACGAACTTGACCTTCATATCTCCTCTCCTAAAAAGAGATCAATCGCTTAAAATTATGTCCCACTTGAAACGATGCAACTTTTATCAGAAATATTTTTCACTAAAATCATTACTTACGCAGTAATCAACGTGGTTCCAGTTACGTGCTCCACGCTCTACAAAGAAATCAATCAAAAGGACATTATTCTCCGTATGAAAATTGTAAATAAAGTACATATTGCAGTGCAGACAAAAATGAGACAATTAACGACTGATTCTAACACCTGATAAGGTATACACTTTTTCTCTATCATCAAAAGCAAACGAGTTGTTCAGTTGTGATCTGTTTCAAATGTCCCCCATCCTGTACAAAACGTGGCGAAGGATATGTTGGAAAAGTTGCAACGAACGTAGCTGTAAAATAACAATTGTTCACCGCATATTCCTTGTAACAACTGTCTTGTTATCGAGATTACGAATATTAATACAATTAGCCCCAGTTCTGTCGCACGTAAGCAAACGCGTCCGAGCGCCGTTGGGGAGGTGTAGCCATAGAAGAATGTTTGGAAAGGCTTGTTTCGCGGTTACCCGGAAAAGAAGATGTACGTATTAATTGAAAGTAAAGATGGTTCGCTGTTGGTGTCGTCTTGAGGAGGGGAAGAGGTACGAATCTGGAATGAATTGCGAGTGGATCGAGAGAGAATCGCAAAGAGCTGGGGGAAAAAGAGCTGGCTAGCTCGGTAGCGGAAGGAGGGACAGTGCCAGTGATGGTGATGGTGGTGGTGGAATGGCCTGAACTGGACAGCACACGTGGACTACCTACTTTTATATCGCTCGGGAAATAATGGGATTCCCATCATGAAGTGGATTTCCCTTGGGAGCCAGTGGACATCGATGCACGCGTCAAGAGATCCTACACCACCACCCCCGTATCCTATCGTTCTCCTGCACCCGGTCGACGTTCATGGTGCTGGTCCACCCTCGCTCGTTCACCTGTCCGATTAGCCCCACCTGCTCACCGTGTCACAACCTGACACGTCCCCTTGATTTTAGAGGAGCCAAAGATATTAAGTTGGAACGCGTGTACGTATGAGACTATTTTCATGCAATTCATTGCAACTTATATCAGCGGAAAATTCGTGTCGAACGGCAGGAAACGGAAGATTCGAACAGCTTAAATGCTGATCAAAAAAGGAGGGTGTTGAAAATAGGCGAATTTTGGCATTCGTCCGGGGCGAAAAATTTCTTCGCAACATGATTCTACACATGCTAAGGCAGCGATGGAGAACATTTTGAGCTCGGTGTGTCAAAATTCGGGGAAAACCTAGGTTAACTCGGGTGCCGTGTCACATCTAGAAATATCCATAATTTGATTCTGAACCTCGTTGATAGAAGATAGACACCGTTGTTTTTCGTTGTTGTTTGTGTGACGATTATTTGTGATCTGCTGGCGTAAAATGTCTTGGCGTGTCATAGGTTCGCCATCACTGTCCTGAGGAGTGAAAAATGTAAGTGTAATTTTTCCCGGAAACCATGGGAAAGCTATGAAAAATGCGGTTAAAAGGTAAAAGTATGACCGTACTTGATCGTCTCTATTCGTAAATGAACCATTTGGAAATTCGCATTGAGTATTATTGAGAAAGATTATCGTACATTGGTGTTTAATAAGAACTGAAAATAATGAAAAATAACTGATGATAAAAATTGACGTGTCATGGAAATCATCGAAGCGAGGAATTCTTTTATGCCACTTTCCCATCATCAGGAAAAATAACAATTACACTTTTTATTCCTTAGGATGTGTAGAATCATGCTGCGAAGGAAGTTTTTGTTCCGTATAAATGCCAAAATGTCAT